TATCCCCCAAACTCCCCTCCATCCAGGTTGGAGTCTTGTTTTTTAACTGCTTTTTTTCTTGGGTATGAATTATATTTTTTTATTTCTTTGCATGTTCACACTTTTTAAATTGGATACAGGACGATGAAGAATAGATATATACAGACTCATTGTTACTCCAGCGAGTTGTTTTGTCCTAGAAGGCAGTTACCTTGGCTGGATTCAAATTCTGAACTGTGTGTTGGACTCTTAACATCCATCTGCTGCTGGGAACCCTGAGGTCTCCCCATCAAGTCCTCATAGATCATTGAGGACATCAGCCAAGAATTTGGACATGTTTTAAATGCAGATCTATTTGCAGCCCTCTTTCTTGCAGAAGTCTACTTTCCCAATCTTTCTAAGTGTTCTTTGAGCCCTGAACTTTGTCCTCTGACTCCTCAAACCATTTAGGAATTGGGTCTTCTGCTACCAGAAACATGCCCATTGGGTTGTGTTTCATTGTTTGTTTGTTGTTTAGTCACTAAGTCATGCCCAGCTCCTTTGTGACCCTTTGGACTATAGCCTGTCAGGCTCCTCTCTCTATATGGGATTTCCCAGGTGAGAATACGAGAGTGCTGGAATGAGTTGCCATTTCCTTCTCCATGGGATTTTCCCAATCTGGGGGTTGAACCTGTGTCTCCTGCATTGGTAGGCAGGTCCTTTACCACTGAGCCACCAAGGAAGCCCTTATGTTTCCTAGTGCTTCAGGAAAAAAGTTACTGCCTGAAAAATCTCATTTTTTGCTGTTTTTTTCTTTCAAGGATATACTCCCTTTCATTTTCTATTTCTTATGATCTGTGTTCAGGTTCTTTAAAACCTGGAGGCTGAGTAGGTAGTAACAATAGCTTTTCTGCCATGGTGACCATGGGTTGTTTTTTTTGTGGTGGCGGGGGTGGGGGGGGGCGGCTTGTCTTAAATAGCAAAGGGAAATAGTATATTGAGAAGAACATGACCTTTGGTTAGAAATGGAATGGAGTCATGTAATAGGGAACTGAATTACCTTGGGCAGTTAGTTTTCTAAATTCCTGAGCGTGTTACCTTTTCTTGAAAGATGGAAATAAAATTTCACTTCTTGCAAATTAATGTCAAGGTTCAGTTCAGTTCAGTCGCTCAGTCGTGTCTGACTCTTTGCAACCCCATGAATCTCAGCACGCCAGGCTTCCCTGTCCATCACCAATTCCTGGAGTTTACTCAAACTCATGCCCATCGAGTTGGTGACGCCATCCAGCCATCTCATGCTCTGTCGTCCCCTTCTCCTCCTGCCCCCAATCCCTCCCAGCATCAGGGTCTTTTCCAATGAGTCAACTCTTCGCATCAGGTGGCCAAAGTACTGAAGCTTCAGCTTCAGCATTAGTCCTTCCAATGAACACCTAGGACTGATTTCCTTCAGGATGGACTGGTTGAATCTCCCTGCAGTCCAAGGGACCCTCAAGAGTCTTCTCCAACACCACAGTTCAAAAGCATCAATTTTTCGGAGCTCAGCTTTCTTCACAGCCCAACTCTCACATCCATACGTGACCATGGGAAAAACCATAGCCTTGACCAGACGGACCTTTGTTGGCAAAGTAATGTCTCTGCTTTTTAATATGCTGTCTAGGTTGGTCATAACTTTCTTTCCAAGGAGTAAGCGTCTTTTAATTTCATGGCTACAGTCACCATCTGCAGTGATTTTGGAGTGCCCCCCAAAAAAGTCTGACACTGTTTCCACTGTCTCCCCATCTATTCCCAGGAGGTGATGGGACCAGATGCCATGATCTTAGGTTAGCATTGTCCTATAAAATACCCAGTATAGGATCTGAGGCAGAAAAAGATAAGGTATTCCCTGCTTTTCACAGGTCTGCTTTATGCCACTTTACTTTTGTGTAAGACCCATCAGTACTTTTTTTCACTACCTGAAAGAAATCTGAAGAGGATTTTTCATTTACTAGAAAGTGAAAAGTGAAAATATCATTCAGTGTTTTTTACATAGAGAGGTATTGTTGAGGCAACACCCCCAGGCAGCAAGAGTGGAACCTCCGAGCTCCTTCCCTGGGAACTGTTCTTAGCATCAAGCCGTTATAGCTTTGAACTGTGTGGGTGACCATCTGTGCTTTAACTTGATTTTATTTTGTGCATCCATTTAGCAAGGTGTGTCCTAAGGTAATTGCTGCTTTGCTTTATGCCATTTTGGCTTAGGAAAGGTTTCATAGGAACACTCTACTTTCAGATAGTGGGGGAAGCTGGTCGTTTTAAGTTTTTTTGTCACTATTATACATAGCGGCAAACCCATTGCCTTGGGTTTACAAACCATAGGGTTTGTTGTTTTTTTCATATAACTGGCTTTATTGCAATACTCACATTATTGTAGTGCTCTAATATGTAATATGTAGTCCTTGTACTGAACAAAAGTTATTCTCATTAGGCATCTTTAAAAATATAAAGTATATTATCACTTTGTTGTGTTTTGTAGAAGCATTTATAATAAAATAATTTGTTCAATTAAAAGTAAGATTTATTTTGAAGAACCCTAGACATGTATTTTTTACCTTCTGGAAAATTATTATCAGTTCAGCAAAGGTGTGTCAGACTGATGATGTGGACTAAATAAGACAAATTGGACCTTACATTTTATCAAGGAAAGCAAACATTAAGCAAATCATTATAAGTTTACATACCATTTTACGGAAGGTTTTGGGGTGAACAAGAACAATACATTTATAAAGATCCTATATTGAAGAATCATATTTAAAATGCTTAGTAATGAAATTTTAATCTTTTGAATAAAAACTGTTTTAACAAGGTACTTTGTATTTCTTCACTGTAGATTTTATATGTTCCTTGGGTTTTCTCTGCCTCTCTTTCCGCCATCACTATTTTGCCTTTTATCTCTTCAGATTTTTAGATTTACTTTTTATAGATTCTGATTGGTGTTAAATAATATTAATAGTAATACATGTATTATTCCTGACTTTATTGTGAATGGTTCTAAGGTTTTGCCCTTAAGTACATATATATTTTTATATATAAAAAGCATTTTAGAAATATATATATACTAAGGTTTTAACATTAGTTATATATAGGTGGTAGAATATACATACTTTTCACTTTGTTCTTGGTCTTTTCTCCCATCCAAGGCCCAGGCCCTGCTTAGCTTCCGAGATCTGTTCTTGGTCTTTTCTGTATTGCCTGCTTTGTAGCGTGCATTTTGCTCTTTTTATTATAAAGAAGAAGGGACATTTTTCAAAACAAAATAAAAACTATATTATCTACTATTGGTGATGGACAGGGAGGCCTGGCGTGCTGCAATCCGTGGGGTCGCAAAGAGTTGGACATGACTTAGTGACTGGACTGAACTGAACTGATCTATTAATGAAGAAGTGCATTGGTCTACTCATTGCTCCACGTAGAGCTGCTGCTGCTGCTCCTAAGTCGCTTCAGTCATGTCCGACTCTGTGCGACCCCATAGATGGCAGCCCACCGGACTCCCCCGTCCCTGGGATTCTCCAGGCAAGAACACTGGAGTGGCTTGCCATTTCCTTCTCCAGTTCATGACTCTTAGCGACTCCATAGACTGCAGCCTACCAGACTCCTCCATCCATGGGATTTTCCTGGCAAGAGGACTGGAGTGGGTTGCCATTGCCTTCTCCGGCTCCAGATAGAGACTTCTTCTCAAATATTAATTTGCTTTTGACCATGATCTAGGGAAACTAGCTTTAGCTCTTCTACCTACTATTTTAGATTCTTTGAAATAAGACATTTGGGAGTAGGTGATTTTATGGTATTCTTATCTCTTTGGCCCAGTTTTTTCCTCGTGTTTTCATATGAAACATGGATGGAGGATGCAATAAAGAGGCCCAAGTCAGGTCTTTAAAAATCAGAAGTTGAAATCAAAAGTTACTTAAATCCATACAAAAATATGAATGACCAGGTATTGTTTTTTCTTCTCAAAGTATTTACATTTTGGGGAGCATTTGAAATATTTTACTTGCCCAGTTGTTTTCTAATTGATAAAATTTATTGTATTCATTTAGTATTTATTGAGTCTTGGCCAAGCTACTGGAGAAATAGGAAAATTAGATAATGGTTCTTGCCCTTGAACTGTGTGCTTGTGGATAAAGATATTGGCAGTATTTTTTCTTAGTGGCATTTCCTGTGGATTCACCTAAAAATACCAATACAAGTTAGTATTATGAATCTTTGGGACTGCCCTGTCAAAGAAGTATAGAGATCTGATCCTGAGATGAATTTCAAAACAATTTTCCAGGTCACTTCATTAAGCAGTCTAGTTTTTACAGCCCTCATACCCCTCCTGGAACTCTTCATCTTTAGTCTTCATACTGCCAGAGATTAAGCTTTGATTCACTGAATGAAGTAGATCTGACCCTATTTTCCCCAGGTTACTAGCCAGGAAGTTACTATAATTTCTTCCTAGTATAATCCTAGTTCTTTTTGTTAGGACCCAAGTAAATATCTCCTTGCCTTTTGTGAATTAGAGATGTCAACATAATTGATTGTTTTTCTTCATGTTTTCTCTTTATTTTCCTCAACTCTTAACTAAATGAATATGCTTTATTTGTGCTCTCAATTTGAAAGATTATCTGTTGTTAAAGTCATTTCAACAAACTCGGGGCTATATGTTTTTTTTTTTCCCATTTATTTTTATAAGTTGGAGGCTAGTTACTTTACAATATTGTAGTGGTTTTTGCCATACATTGACATGAATCAGTCATGGATTTACATGTATTCCCCATCCCTATCCCCCCTCCCACCTCCCTCCCCACCCCATCCCTCTGGGTCTTCCCAGTGCACCAACCCCAAGCACCTGTCTCATGCATCCAGCCTGGGGTGGTAATCTGTTTCACCCTATATGTTTTTAAATTATCATCAGTAGAACCATTGCAGATATTTCTCAATGAATTGAATTGCAGTTCTCTGTAGAAAAATTGCTTGAGAACCCAATTTAATGTGCTAACTGAGTGAATCTTTTTTTCTTTTCATTTCAGTTGGAAAGACATCACTGATTACCAGATTCATGTATGACAGTTTCGACAATACCTATCAGGTATTTTGTTTTTGCCACCCTACTAGTTGTCTTTATTTTGTTTGCAAGTAATATTCAAGGTGCTTTTAAAAATTCACTTTTTTACATTGTCATTGATATAAAAGCACTTTCTGTAATCTGTAAAATGCTATATAAATACAAAGTATAACTGATTATGCTCATAGTTCTCAGCTTTTTTATTTGATTTCTTTAGCTTCTCTTCTAGAATCTATTGAAAGGTTATTGGTAATACCATCTAGAATAGAAGTAAGAGTGATTATATCGATAGACATTCTTTTGGAGAGATTTCTTCCAAGTCTAGGGTTCTATGATATTTTGGTCTATACTTGAAGTCAAGAATAAGTGCTGTAATTAGAAATCATTAATAGAGGAGATTTGGGAGTGGGTTGAAGACAGTCATAAGGAAAATTAGGAAGTATTTTGAGATAAGTGAAAAAGAAAACACAACATTCCAAAGCTAATGGGATACAGCTTAAAGCAGTCCTATAAGGAAAAGAAGAGATATATTAACTCAGTAATTTAATCTTCTACCCTAAGAAACTAGAAAAAGAAAAGTAAACTTAAGCAGAAGTAAGAAACTGCTTTAAAATGTAGGTTTTATTATTATTATTCAGTTATGATGAAGCCAACAGATCAGGAGATAATTACTACTGAAAAGGCTATTATACTCATAGATTCCAAGAGGAAGGGCCAGTGTAGGCCACAGTAGGAGGGCACAAGAAAGAAGTACTGATACTGTTCAGGAGATGGGGTAGGGGACAGGAAATGTGGGTACTAGGGTACCTAAGTTGTGATTTTTGTGAGAAGGATGGGTAAGACCAGCAACTACAGGATTGTCTAATTTTCATAATTTCAGTGCACCCTGCTCTGTGGGGGTTGTTCTTGGTTTTCTGGTACTTGGCCCTGGGGTGATTAGGGTAGGGGCATAGTGGGTCTGAGTGTGATAGAGGAGATGGTTGAGGTATGGGTGTGGATTGGTTGGTTTTCATATGAAAGTCCCTCTCACAGGCAAGTTTACATCTCTAGGAACTGGTAAACTCTGGGAGGGCCAGTCCCTCTCGTGTTAGGAAGCTCCCAGATACCAGGACAACAAAAACACAGAAAATAAAGACATGCTTAATTCAGAAACTAATAAAGATTAGAACAAAAATATATGGACGAGAGAACAGAAAAACAAGAAATTCAGTGAAACCAAAAGTGTTTCTTAGGAAAGATCCACAAAATTGACAAGACTTTACCTAACTAATCAAAAAAAAGAGAGAGACTCAAATTATTAAAGTCAGGAGTGTAGGAGAAAATCTTATAACCAACCATATAGAAATAGATAATACTCTGAGAGAATATTATAAGAGAATACTGTAAAATGGTTATATGCCAACATATGAGATAACCTAGATGAAATGGACAAAGTCAAAGAAAGATACACTACCAGAACTAACACAAGAAGAAATAGAAAATTTGAGCATACCTGTAATAAGTAGATAAAATTAGCGTCAAAAAAACTGTCACAGGACTTGGCTGATGGTCCATGCCAATGCAGGGAACGCAGGTTTGATCCCTCCTCCGGGGAGATTCCACATGCCACAGGGCAGTTAAGCCTGTGCGCCACAACTACTATTCCTGTGTTCTAGAGTCTATGCTTCACAGCAAGAGAAACCACTACAATGAGAAGCCCTTGCACTGCAACTGGAGAGTAGCCCCTGCTCACTGCAACTAGAGAAAGCCCCATGCGCAGCAACAAAGACCCAGCACAGCCATAAATAATTTTTTTCTTTTTTAAACTCACAAAGAAAATTGCAGGACTAGATGACTTCACTGATCACTTCTATGAAATATGTGAAGAACAACACTAATACTTCATAAATTTCCAAAAATATAAGAGGAAGAAACATTTTCCAACTTACCTTATGAGGATACACAAACCAGGCAAAGACATCAAAAATAAAACCACAAGGTATATCCTTTATGAATGTAAACACAGTAGTCCTTAGCAAAATACTACCAAACGGAATTTGCTGATTTGTAAAAAGGATCTATGCCATTTACTGGGTAGGATTAGTAGATTAATACCAAGATTGCAAGGTTGATTTAGCATACAAAAAGTAATGGAATATGCTTTATGAATAGACTAAAGGACAAAATCAGGGAAATTCTCTGGTGGTTTAGTGGTTAGGACTCTGTACTCTCACTCCTGAGGGCCCAGGTTTGATCTCTGATTGAGGAACTAACACCCCACAAACTGTGCGTTGTGGCCAAAAAAGAAAAGGACACAAATCACATGATCATTTCAGTAGACACAGAAAAAACATTTGACACAATCCAGTAGCCTTTCATGGAGAAGGCTATGGCACCCCACTCCAGTACTCTTGTCTGGAGAATCCCGTGGACGGAGGAGCCTGGTGGGCTGCAGTCCATGGGGTTGCTAAGAGTTGGACACCTACTGAGTGACTTCACTTTCACTTTTCACTTTCCTGCATTGGAGAAGGAAATAGCAACCTACTCCAGTGTTCTTGCCTGGAAAATCCCAGGGGCGGGGGAGCCTGGTGGGCTGCCGTCTATGGGGTCGCACAGAGTCGGACACAACTGAAGTGACTTAGCAGCAGCAGCAGTAGCCTTTCATGATAATGATAGCTTATGGTGAACAATGTTGGATTCATGATCTCTGAAGAAGAAGATTTAGCTTCGGGACCAGGCTTGATCACTCAAGAGCTTTTGTGTAGCAGAGTTTTATTAAAGTATGAAAAGGGCCAGAAAGCTTCTGACATAGACTTCAGAAGGGGGACGGAGAGTGCCCCCCTGCTAGTCTTAGCAAGCTGTTTTATGTCTGTTAGAAAGCTATTAATTAGATAAGAGAGACACCTCAAGGCTGACAGAGGTTCACCAGGCCCCTCTCCCACAAAGTGCATTTTTGAGATAGGATGGCATGAGGTGTGTCATTCCCTAGCCATAAAACAATTGATATGACTACTGGTTTGTTGAGCTACTATCAGCCCAAGGTTTGAGAAAAGAAAAAAAGTTAATCTTAGGTGGAACCATTTTGAAGAAAAGCAAATTCCAAAGCAAATACATAGTTTCATTAACATAGCTTAAGAAAAATATTTCCATAGAGAAACCTGCTTTTAATTTTGTATGGAGAAAGAAAAAAAATCTGACACTTGTAGTTTGTTTCCTCCTGCCGCTTAAGGGAGAGATAAAAAAATGTCTGACACTTGCAGCCTATTTCCTCCATTTGGAGACCCCTGGCCTTCCTGCCTGTTACCTTCTCAATAATAAACACTCAGCATGCTACAAATAGAAGGGAAGTGTCCAAACATGATAAAGAACATCTCTATGAAAAACCCACAGCTAATATCATACTTAATGTTTGAAGGCTGAATGTATTCTCTAAGATCAGGAACAAGACAAGGATGTCTGCTCTCAGTTGCATATATATCTGGTTATAAATATATATAAAACACTAACTATATATATATATATATATATACACAAAACCATATATGTGTATATAAATATAACCATATATATCTGCATATGTATATGTGTGTCTAAGTTACATATATGTATCTTAGTTTTAAATAGCTTAATTGTAAAACAAAAACCAAAGAATAAGTTAAAAAGAATAAATCAGTAATCTTCAAACCAGGTACTTTCACTTTCTGAAGTATTTCATTATACCCAAGTTCTCTGTGAAATTAAAGAGATCTTTAGGTGTCTAAAGTGCTGTTGCTACTTATTCATTAAGACTATTGCTGTTGTTCATGCAGACATTTTTTAAGGGAGGTGCTGTTGATGGGGTGAGGTTACATTTGACAGATAAGCAAAGATTTTGATTCTTTCTAAAAAGTTGTTGAAGCCAAAATACCATTGTACTTTGGCATTAAATAGGAGACACTGATTCACCATGGAAGCTACAAGTTTTTATAAGAATTAGGCACAGTCCTAGATATTATCTTACTTTAACAGGGGAGTTAGGATAATGTAGTACCCAACATCCTCACCTAGGGAAATTATCTTGATAGTGTGTTAAGTATTACTTTGGAATATGCAGAATTGACCATATGTAGTTAGCTGCCAACTTAGTTATCAGGTGAAGAATTCTTCAGTGGATTATTTTTTAAGATTCCCTATCTTATGCCCTGACCATACACACAACAGAAAGACTTCTGAAATAATTGAAGAATTAGTCTCATAGCTAGAAATTTATAATTGAGCTATATGTAATATATATCTGAAACTTAAAGTGAAATTTTATTTCACAAAGAAGATTAACTTTATATATAATTCATAATTCATGCTATTTATGATTCCTTTGCACTGAATTAATTTCATTTGAAAAAGACTAAATTGGTTGGCCAGAAGAGTCCTTTATTGACCATGTTTAGTCAGTTATTTCAAAGCAAAGCAAAAAACCTGAGAAATCTGGTAAACATTTGTAGCTAGAGGCTGGAAGTGATTCTCTTAAGTTGCTCTAGTTTTTCACCAGTTTTTAGTTTTTGTTTTTTTTTTCTTTTTCCAGTTGTAAATTTTTCCAGTAGTTTCAAATGTATCAGTCTGAACCATATTACATAATTGCTGTTTTTATCATTCAGAAATGATAGAATGTTGGCAGTTTTATATTATATGGTTCAACTTAATATAAATAAGCTCAAGAAAGATTCCCACAATTGGAGTAGATTCTTTTGAGGAAGATTATATTACTCAGGGTAACCTTTGAGATTTCTTTGAATTTAGAGGGTTTCTTATTCCAAGGACTGTTACAAATCAACAATTAAGTTCAGGATGGCATAGATTAAATCAGTGGGTTTTAGACACTAATGAATTTGTCCAGAGAGATGATGGTGGTGATTAAGTATATCCTTAATCTGTAGAAGTTAAAGCTCTATGTTGTTTTATTCAAAATTCTAGTTATCAATAGAACCAAAATCCTTAACTAGATGGACTGTTTTTCTTTTTAAAATTATCATTATCATTTTTATTTTTTGGCCTCGAAGTATGCAGGA